TTTGAATTATTATCCCCTAGTTGCCTCCAAGAGCTTCTACTTTTCTGATGCCAATACAATTCCTCATCTCGATAAGCCTCTTTCAACCGCAATGTTAATTCTGTAATCTCTTCCCGTGCTCTCCTATCATCTCTATGTGCCAGAATTAATTCCGATTTTAGTTCCTCAATTGTTCGCCGCCCATAGGGAGTTAAATTTTTCCGCCATTGTGAAATAGCCCGCCTACAATTAGTCAATTTTTCCACAAATTTTCCCCCTCCTAACTGAGGATCAGAATTCCAACCATTTGAAATTTCCTCGACTAATCCTTCCTTTCCAATCCATCTTTTATCAAATCTGAAATTTCTTTTCCCATGTGGGACCTTATCCATGAGCGTAGCTACCACCGGTGAATGGTCGGAAGCTACCATTGGTAAATATTCAACGAAATAATTGCAGAATAATTCATGCCAATCTTCGTTTGCTAAAGCTCTATCCAACCGACACCGTATTGGTTTCTTATCCCGCCAACCCCGCCATGATAACCAATCTCCGATATATGGAAACTCTAAAAGACCGTAATTTTGAATCATTAAATTATAAGGGATAAAAGAAGATGCATGTCTTAAAGTACCACCTCTTTTCTCGTGATTTCCAGTTAACTCATTAAAATCACCTATTAAGAACCAGGGTGTGTCTCTAATCAAACCGATCCGTGTTAACCGTTCCCAAACTTGATCTCTATTTTTTGGAACCGGATCACCATAAACGAAAGTAAGATGTATTGTTTTTCCTTTTATCACCGCCTCAACATCAATTAAACGATTACTTTCATAAATAATTGAAACATTAAAATCATTATTATAATAAAGGGCTAAACCGCCACTACAACCGATAGGATCAACTGTTTTTAAATTTTTGTAACCAAAATGACCGATAAATTTTTCCATAAACCAAGAAGGTTGTTTTGTCTCCGAAAGGAATAAAAAGTCTGGCCGGTGTTGTTTCCATATATCCCTAAAATAACCGATAGTTGCTTTATTCCCAAGTCCTTGACAATTCCAACTCAAAACCTTCATTTATCAACTTTGTGTTTCGGTGGGTTGCGTCCACCCGTGAAGTCCTTTACCGTGCCATAGTGCGTCGAGTTATGACCTGCATTCCTTTGATTCTTTTTTAAAGAAACCCAATCACAATTGAATCTAGATATTTTAACCCTTATAGTATCCACAACCAACCATAAAAAACCGGAAATCAAACCGTAGTAAAACCATTTTTTACAACCACTAAAACTCAACTCCATATATGCAAAATCCAAACACAATCGACCAACATCATACCTTTTAGGAAAATTCTGACCAACCACAATAGCCCTTTGAAGAGAAATTCCGTTTCTCTTTTTATATTCCGTTTCTCTTTGAAGAGAATTATCAAATTTAAACAAATTTAATTAGTTAAACAAATTTAATATAAGAACGAAAAACTATAGGTTTTTGTCAAAAAAAAAAAATCTATTTTAAGGGTTTTATATAAATACCATAAAAATTGGAAAAAAAATGTGTTAATTTTAAAGATTTTTTAAAAATTTCCTTATTTTCTATGATACCAATTTTAACATGACTAGAAATAGATTTGATAGAGATCATCATCCACCATCAAAAAAGAGACCAAAAGAAAAAGCTAAAGCCTTATCCAATTTAAATTCTTAGCGGCCTTACTACCCTCTCTCTCTATCACGTGTGCTGGGTCAGATGTGTCACGTGCCCGGACGGCTGGTCATTCGGACACGTTCTTCTCATAAAAGTTTCCACGTCAATGTTTGATTAATGTAATACTCCATATCTGTTCGTCGGCGTCGAATGTCCGGAAAACACGCCGGTGATTAGATCAACGTGGCAGATCATATAAATTAACCAATCAAAGTGCGTTCATATTAACCTTGAAGACCCAATCATCATCGTTTGTTTATATTTTTCTACTATATGTTTAAAGAAAACGTTAAATTTTGCTACTGTTTTTATAACTGTTCATATAATATACAGTTACTTATACACTGATGCCAAATAAGAAAAAGTTAAAAAAAAAAAAAAAAAAAAGTTAAGTGATTTAAGTTAAAAGTTATGATCTACAGCTTACAAATTATGTGTAACTATGTTTATAAAAAGAATATTATACGAATAAAACAAAATTTAGATTGACAAAAGATATTTATATTTGTCTGTATGATATTAGTGTATACATATAGATGGAGAATAGTAAGAAAACTACAATGGACTATGTGATTGCATATTAGCAGACCAATGAAATGCATTATTATAGACTATCACAATCCTTACCAAATTTAACGGAGATTAGCACATTAAGTCATTAACATTGATATTGTTTTTTGTCAGCTTAGTTTTCTTAAAATTGTTGAACCAAGTCAAGAGAAGTTGTTAGTTAGTTAGTTTTTTATGTGTTGTATTTTATTTTTATTTGATCAAATTTCATATCACTAATTAATTTTACTTACAAAAATTGGAAATTTACAAAATCTCAATAATCTCCTATTTCCAGAAGTACACACAATATTAATTCGGTTGTCTTATTAATTTTCACATGTTGAACAGTGATTAGGCTTTTAGACTGATCAACATCAATTAAGAGAAACAATATTATACAATATGCATAGATATTCAATAACAACAATAATGAGTTTGGCCAACAACGGATCATGTCATGTGTGAGTGTTCTTCGATCTATTTTTCATTCGGTCGCAATTTACAAATTAGTTTTGAGAGGAAAATAATAAATAAATAAAACATTTAACAGCTAATGTAATTAAGTTGTAGGTCTTATATTGTCCACATCAATATATTATTTTTTGTTCAGCGCACATTAATTAGTTTCTCCCATTAATTATTTTATATAATTTTTGAAACACGTGACAACTGTTTTCTTAAATGTATTTTCTCTTTTCAACACTAATACACTATTATTATATTATTTTAATATGTCATTAAATTAAAATAGACTCTTATCTTGAATTTTTCAAATAATATTCATAAAAATATATATATATATATAATTTAATATCTTTTCGTTTTTTATTTTTATTTTTATTAAAACTAAATTGATTTAAGTGTTCGTTTACATATTTGAATAAATATATTAATGTTTTATCAAGTTATTTATTACTATAAAATGATGGTGAAATAAGCTAAAATTTAGGGAAAAGACACATATGTTATACTCCCTCTGTTTCAAAATGTAAGATGTTTTGGCTAAAAGCACAAATTTTTAGAAACTAAATAATCTTCTTTGTTTTTATATATTCTACCCTAAGAACATAATTTAATATTTTATTAAAGAGAGTTTGGCCAATGAAATTTTATATTGCAGAATATAAATAGTCACAAATGTATATAAATTTAATTTTGCATAGAAACTTGAACATTTTTGTCCTAAACATCTTATATTGTGAAACAAAATAAAATAGCTAAAACATCCTATAATATGAAACAGAGGGAGTATCTTTTACTAGTGTAATGGCCCGTGCCTAAATACCAAACTTTATAGATAGTAAAAACTATAATATAATAGCACAACAGAGCTCTATATCAGTCTCATCACTTATCCTTCTTCTAAGTAAATCTTAACATAGATCATGAAATCACAGATTTTAATAAGACTTTAGAAAGACCCACAAAATTGTACCTTATCATCCACAAGAAGAAAATTCATTCCTGTTAATTCCTCTGGTTTATATTTTTGTGGAAATCCCCAAAGACAAACACTTCTCACCTTGATTTTACATAGATCAGTTACTAGAGTTATTTGAGAGATAGGTGGAATATTGAGCGGCATAATTGGAGATTGGAATTTGGAATATGAACTTGCAAATAAAAAGTTGTTTTTGTTAAATAGAGAGAATTTTATGAGCAGAGAAACTTATGAAATTTGGATAAGAGAATAGACCATGTGGATCAGTGGGTTGACACAGTAATGCCAAAAGTCTAAAATTTGCAGACACAATAACACCAAATCACTTGAGAGAAGATAATTGAACTATAACGAAATTTATAAACTTGAGAAATCCGAAAACTTGCATAGAGGAAGAGACATGTGATTGATGATGAACCCTAAAAGTAAATCATGTAACGACATCATACCCAATAGATGAATTGGAATCCAAGAAGGAAATGATGTGAAGAGGGGAGGCAAAGTAAGAGGCGGAAGAAATAATGTTTTTTTTCTCATGGTTGAAGAGGAAAGGTGATGAAGTGGGGAATATAGATCGTGGAAAAAAAGCGAGCAGTTGAATTTTTTTTTTTCGTAATTTTTTTTTTTCAATTTAATAATAAAGTTTTTCCTGTTACAATTCTGAAAGGTGAAAAAATGGGATTTATGACAGATGCCAGAAGGAGAATGTAGCAGTTTTTTGTGAATTGACTTGTGACTTATTAGATAGAGATTTGTTTTCTTTTCACTAAAATACATCAAATAAATTTTAATATTTGGTGACATGTACCTTCCCTACAACTATTTTATATTTTTCTTTCATTCTAAAATAAGTGATTACAAAAAAAAAAAAAAAAAAAAAAAAGTGTTACATGAGAGCCATGAGAGAAAGAAAATTGGGATTAAACATCATGCAATTAAACCTCATAATGGTCTCAGTAGTTGTATTTCAAAAATAAACGTTTAATTGATTCATCTGTTAAATTGAATCTTAATGGTCTGACTCAACTACTCATGTAACATTTTTTTTTTTATTTGTTTCTAATTATTATTATTGTGTTGCAAATAAAAACATAGATTGTCTTAGTGTAAATGTTAAAGTCGATAATGTGGCACGAAAAAATCTTACCGACCCATATATTTTTACTTATGTAAACAACATTCCACCGAATTGGTTATTTTGAACTGAATCAATCAAAGCTGAAGCTAAAAAAAACACATGGATTAGCTAGCCGATTAGGGTACAATTTACTATTTTGATATAAATAGCAGATATAATTATTCTATAATTATTCAACAACATTTACGTTAATTTGATTCATCCAAAAAAAGATATTGACCAAATAAAGCTCCTATCACAACAAAATCTTTTGTCACTGCAGCACAGTAATCACTCATGTTAGATTTGTTTACGTCTCTTTATTGGGATGATTAGATTCTTGATTTCGAATTTTGTAATGATTTTGGCTTTAATTAAATTGATTTTGTTGTTTCTAACGATTAACGCTAAGATCACAAATGGAGGGAGAGATCAAGACACTGATCTTTACCCTTGTCACTATTCACCACATTATAGTGATGATCCAAAATGTCAACATGTTGTTGACCAAAATACCCTCCTTTGCACTCTCTACCTTGGTGGGATGTGGCCAACACGACATGAGAACCACTGGATCTGAAGATCGGATGGTCAGTATGAACCGCTGGAAAGCAGGCAACAGAGGCAGAAGCAGGGTAGCCTAAGATGGTCAAGTGGCGTCGAGAAGGAGAGGATAAGAAAACAGGTAACGTGTGAAGCAAGTCATTGCTGTTGATGAAATCGTAAGCCCTTTTCGCTCTTCTAGCAGCGGTTCTCTCCTTCTTGTGGGCGTTTTGGTGGCCTCCTAGGGCTTGGGAGCTATGGAACTTTCTAGAACAAAAGAGGCAGGGGAATATTCTTGATGATGATGTGTCTTCGTCTGTCTTGTTGGCTTCTTTGGATGGCTTGATCTCTTCTTCTTCCTCCACTTCTACTTGATGGTAATGATCTTCCATTATATGTTATCTATACACACACACAAAAAGTAACTAAACATTAGATTAACTTCCAATAAGTGCACAAAACAACTTGGAGAGCCAACCTTAAAATATCTATACCTTGAGCTGAAGACCAAGAGAGAGAGAGCGAATGTGTGTGGTTCTGGCTTGAGGGGATGAGTTTAAAAAGGCTAGTGTGAAGATGAGAAGTAGAAGAGAAGTCAAGTTTAAGATGGTGTTTGAGGAGAGTTGGAAACTGTGAAGAATCTGTGTGAGTGGATTCATTAGTGTAACTATTAAGTGTTCTGTTCTGTTGCAGAGCCAACTTTGGGAGCAGGTTCTTTTGCCCGTATGGGCTTGGGAACAGTGGAGATAAGAGAGAGTCAGAGATAAAGAGAGAGAAGAGGATGAGTAAAAGGTAGTGCATGTTAATCAAAAGGAGATTGATTGGTGAGAAAGAAAGAGACGTTTGAATTGGGAAATGGAACTTCTTTATATTTTCATATCTTGAGATTAGCATTTTTGGGTTTTGCATCTTCTCTAAATGGAACTCTATTTGCTATTGGCTTAATTATAATCTCCTCTCAAATTCCACTCCTTTAGTGAACTTTGACTATTACCTTTGTCTTTCATTTTGGCACACCAAGAAATAGCTTCACAAGATTAGCTTCTTCGAGCACATATTTACACACCATATTTTTATAAATATAAGTTGATTCTTGTAATTCTATTTTATTTTATAATTTTTAATAATCTAAGTTACAAAAAACACTTTGTATGTTTTTACTACAGAATTATGTTTTAATTATGTAATGATATATTTTTAAAACAAAAAATGAGACTTCAAGAGTGTGTTTAAATTGCGTGAAGGAAATAGTGTGGCCGATCGAATTGGAGGAGAACTTCTTTCGTTTACGAACTATGACCATCCACTTGATTCATTAGTGCCTAGATTCAATCGTTTGTTGAGGTTAATAAACAATATATGAACTAATGTTTAGTTAATGAAAAGTTGTGTTGCGTCGAAATCAATATTTTGTTTAAACAAGTAATAGAAGCAGAAGACTCCACAACTTGAGAAGCAAATGGGTAGTCATAAAGACTGTGATGGGTCCTGACTCCTGACTGATCGCACCGCCCACATTCTCTTGCAACTTGTCTCCTCTTAGTTGGATACTTCCTCTGTTCACTATACCCAAAACGTTAGTAAGCCAATTTAATTAGTTTTACGTTTATGGATTTGTGGCGGCCCGTTTAGCTTGCATCTCTTTTACAAAAATAGTCATTTTGGCACATTTTACACAAATTAAAAAAAATTTAAATTTTATATATATATATATATATATATATATATATATATATATATATATATATATATATATATTTAATAAATAATTAATAATTTAAATTCAATAAAAATAGTTTTGTGTTAAAGGTAAACTAAAAATTTTAGTGTAAAATGATTTAAAATCACATTGAAAATATAGTAGACATTCTCTGTAAAACAAAAATAAAATTCTAGAATAACATTTTTTGTAAACAGAAAGAGAATATTATTACTAGGTAAGCACCATCCTCTTACTTCTGCCAAGAATGATGTCATTCTTTTGGAAGTCACTTGGTTATTTCAGTAATGATGTATTTGAGTTTTGTGAAATATAGGACTTTGTCTCCGGTGGATAGTTTCTCATCTGAACTTGGGATCCACTTTGACATTGTTTATTTGGCTCCACATGTGATTCGAGTTGATTGTCAGGTACTAATCAACGCTCTCTACTTAGCAACAAATTCCAAAACTGCGTGTGTGATATTCAATGCTTATAAGATTGGGAGACAACCCACTCGCCTTACAAATAAAAAACAACTAACGCAAGTTATTTATTTATTTTTTTCTTCATGGACATTTAATTTTAATATACTTTTTCATCAATCTCAAATATATACAAAAGCAGTACAAGAGAATTAACTTAATACAAATAATATAGTGTGAGCTACATGAAATCTTCTTTTGCAATAACAAAAACAAAACCATATAAGCACCCAAGAAAGAAATGAAATGAGATTAAAAATAAAAGAGGAACATCATTTACCTCACAAGAATTTGGTGAATTCCGCCTCTCCTCTGAAATCTTTAACCACCATTTTGTACACTTCAATGAATAAATTCGGAAAGATTCTGTCAAAGATTTCAAGGAAATTAAGCCTAGGAATAAGCTGACATATAAAACCATTTCAACATTAGGAGAAAATCTATCTACTACTTCTATATTTTGAATAATATAACACAACCCTACAAACCTGCACGTTACACATGTTACATCTAAAACTGATAAGGTTACACATGTTAGAAACGCCCTTCATAATCTAAGAAACACCCAAGGGGAATCTCAAAAAAATCCTCAGAGAACTGAGGAGTCTCCACATGAGGAGACTCGTGCAAGAAGCAGCCAACAGGAGACTCAACAAACCGAGCAGACAACTGAGGCTCGAACTGGACAAGAATCTCAAGGAAACCAGCAGAGAACTGATGTTGGAACTGGACAGGAGGCTCGACCTGAGGAGATTCGTGTAAGAAGCAGCCAACATGAGACTCAACAAACCGAGCAGACAACTGAGGCTCGAACTGGACAGGAATCTCAAGGAACACTGACTCGTGCAAGAAGCAGCCAACATGAGGCTCGAGGAACACTGCAAAGATCTGGTCTTGGAACAGGACAGGAGGCTCAAACGTTTTGTTCCTCTCCTTTGTGAGAAAGTACATTTTTAATAAATCTCATCAATTCTGCGAACTTGCCATCTGTGTATCTACCAGACACTTTAGTTAATCCAGTAAGTAGGCTCTTTTTCCACTCCTTTTTAAGTTTTATAGCTTTTTCTTTTGCTAACTCATCAACAATAATACAAGTAAGTTTAAAAAGTTGTTTTTGAGCCTTCCAAACTATCATTTTCCTTCCAAATGCATATAAGAAATCCATAAATTCGAAGGAGGTTTTCATCGCCAATGGTAAGATGTTCGAGTAACAATTATTTTGGAATGTTCTAGTTTTGTTCAGAATTTTCTTTAAAAAATCTGTGGAAATTTCCAATATATTAAACTCAAAAGAATCAGCATAATATCCCTAGTTGTTGGATTTGAGAAAATTATGTCCCTAATTCACAGGGAATCAAGAAATATATAAAATTGAGTGCTTGTATCTTAAGAAAATGAATAATGCTAGTATCTACTTCGTATGTTCCTAAACGATTGATGATTTAACTTCTTTTATTTTGTTCCACAAAGATTGATTTTCTAATTTTGCTCTTTATTTTATTGATTGACATTAATAAATCGCAAAACTCAATGGTTGAACCTAATTTTATTTAGTAAACTACTATTAGTTCATAGTTATAAGAAAATATTTAATACAAAAAAGATAATGTCGAAGTTGTTAAAAATAAAAATAAAAATGTTGAAATAATTAGACAATGTTTGCTTTTTAATATATGTGAAAAATCTAGAAAATTCTTCTTTTAGGAAGAGAGGACGTATATATTATTACATACATATAAATATAAACAATAAATCAATAGATATAAATCGAATCCTATGTTCTTAACTGTATATGTAAACTCTATCCTATATAGAAATATAAATCATTTTTATTTTGATCTGTTTATAGTAAGATTTTAGAGACACGATTGAATAAATCTAAGCAACTTTTTCCTAAATCCAAGCGATTCTTTTATAGGTGTTTGTCCCCGATCCAATTAGGAGATCTTATTAGTTATACAAACATGATTTTAATTAATTGATTCATTAGTGAAGAAGGTAAAATATTATCTAGACAGATAAATAGAGTGACTTTGAAACAACAATGACTAATGACTATTGCTATAAAACAAACTTGTACTTTATCGTTTTATCTATTTTTATATTCATCTACAATTTCAAAGAAGTGAGCCGATCCCTAGAACTATTAGCTTTAGAACCAGAAAAAAATTGACTTATTTTTCAATTGAATAAAAATTCCAATCTAAGGAATAAATAGGAGATATTCGAAAAATCCAAAGTTTGATTGTTACGTTTATGATTGTAACAATTTATCCACTATTACCTGAAACCCTTAGATTTTTCAAGTTCAGCCTTTCCGTGGACGGATTCAATTTAAATTAGGGCTGGACCATGATTTTTTATCCATAGTTACAATGAATCTTAGTCAACTACGAAATTTGACTTTTCCTTGTTTGACATTCAATCTCTCCAATCAATATGAACAAGAAAACGTTTTTGGCTTTGAAATCAGCTATGCTCCTATGCTCTATTCCATATTTTGAGATATAGAAAATCTATGCATAACAATGAAATTGTGTTGGGGTCCAAGTGAGACTAGAAACCTTACAATTATTATGAAATTGTGTTAGGGTCCAAGTGAGACTAAAGACCTTACAATTATTCTTGTTTTAATGAAACTTTTCTTTGTAATAGATAGATACTCAATAAATAAATAAAATAAATTAGGTTTGCAAGAAATCTAACAAGAAGGGAAGGTTAGGTAGCATAAAACGATGAAAGGTAAGTAAGGAGGTTGGTAAGAAGAGTGGTGGAGAAGCAAAAGAGTATGTCAAAAGAGTTAAATGCCAAATGTAACGTCACTTCTTTCACTCCTCATCTAACTCTCAACACTCTTTTTGTATATATAATCTTGAACAATAGGTTATCTCAACATTTGCATATTGTCTATATTTATCAAATCCACTGGAACTCATAATAAGTTCATTCATCCTCGGGTAACTTTCTTGACCTCTCTCCATCTTATCTTTTACGAGTCTTAAAGACTTTACTTATCTAAAAAATCCGTTTTAGTCTCTCAAAATTGATTATTAGATGCTATATTCTAGTCGCAAAAACTAGTTTTTTGGACTTGAGAATTTTATAAAATCATTGAAGAATACTAAATTTTCCTTACTAAAACAAAACATTCCCCAAGGTTAATCAACTAAAATCTATTATCCTATATGAATTATTCTTATGGGTCAAATCATGTAAATTATCTGGATATCCAAATTATTAACTAAAATTCTTAATAATTTTGTGAAATTACTCAAATTATCAAAATCAATATTACCCAAAATGAAAAGAAACATTTGTTGCTTTATAAGTTAGATTCTTCCCACGTGGCCTGGTTTAGTTATAGTTGCCGACGAAAAATTTCCGATCACATTCTTAACGGCGTGAGTTTCTGTGGGGAGCAAAACATGAAAAAGATGCGATATTTTCGTAACGCCGTTAACTTTGTTAACAAAAACGACAAGACAAGGTTTTGGCAACGAGACCAATCAGACCAGACTTATGAGAACGATCGATCAAAACATCTCACTCACGAGAAAAATGAGGACCTTGAAGCTTCTTATACTTAAAGTCTTCCCTTTTCCAGAAAAATCAACCAAACCCAGTTCAATTTTCCCGGAAAGTTTTTGTCTTTCAATCACCATTAGAAATTCAGCTGCAACACAAGTGTTTGAACAGAGAGAATCATGGAGAAAGCTGTTGAAAGACAAAAGATTTTGCTTCGTCATCTCAATCCAATTTCTTCTACTAATTCTTCTCTTAATCATGAACCTTCTCTTTTTTCTGTAAGTTTAGTTGTCTTAATCATGAGTCATAGAGTTTTATTAGACATTGAGAATGTTTGTGGAAGATGATGATCTTTAACTTTGTTTTGTTGTGTGACTCACTTGAATCTTTCTTTAATTTTAGCTTGTGAATTGTGCTTCTGAGGTTTCCCCAATGGCTGCTTTTGGAGATGACATTGTGATTGTAGCGTAAGTCATTGAGTTTTGCTTCACTTTCACTTTCTTTAGATTTTCTTGTTTCTTGATTCTTCTTCTTCTTCTTCTTCAGGGCATATCGTACCGCCATTTGCAAAGCAAGACGTGGAGGTTTCAAAGACACTCTTCCTGATGATCTTCTAGCTTCTGTTCTTAAGGTAAGCCATCAATTAAACCTTGCTCAGACTCAGACATGGAGTAGTAGTATCTATGATTTTCTTATGTTTCATGTTGTGATCTAATTAGGCTGTAGTGGAAAGAACATCTTTGGATCCAAGTGAAGTTGGGGATATCGTTGTTGGTACCGTGATAGCGCCCGGTTCTCAGAGAGCTATGGAATGTAGAGTAGCAGCTTATTTTGCTGGTTTTCCTGGTACTAAATCTCATTAAAGATGAAACTTAATAATATCTCACAGGAGACAAGTTGTTGATATGTTGCTTCGTCTTTCTCTTTTACGAGCTAGACACCGTGCCAGTTAGAACTGTCAATAGACAATGCTCATCAGGACTACAAGCAGTTGCTGATGTTGCTGCTTCCATTAGAGCTGGTTATTACGACATTGGTAAGACGTAGTCACGCAGCTTCATCAGATTTTTGTAGTCTCTAGCTGCTTGTCTAGGCTGCGAGATTGATTCTCTTAACTTTGTGAATTGGACAGGTATTGGTGCTGGAGTGGAATCAATGTCAACTGATCATATTCCTGGAGGTGGCTTTCATGCCTCTAATCCAAGAGTAGGTTATCTCAATGAGTGTATAAATTTACTCAGCAAGGAGAGTTTTGTGATTTTTTGTATACCTAAATGGGAATAGGCACAAGATTTCCCGAAAGCTCGTGATTGTTTGCTTCCAATGGGAATTACTTCTGAAAACGTTGCAGAAAGATTCGGTGTCACAAGAGAAGAGCAAGATATGGCTGCGGTTAGTTAGTTATTCTCTTCACTCTTCTCACCCTACTTCATATAAGTACTGATTCAGTAATCAACAGGTGGAGTCTCACAAACGCGCTGCAGCTGCAATCACGTCTGGTAAACTCAAGGATGAAATAATTCCTGTTGCTACTAAGGTAAACACAAGAAGCTCCTAACTTCTTTAAAACCATTTTAGTAGAGCTTTCTCTGTAAACGATTCTTCTTGACAGATTGTGGACCCCGAGACTAAAGCAGAGAAGGCAATTGTTGTATCTGTTGATGACGGTGTACGTCCAAACTCAAACTTGGCAGATCTGGCAAAGCTGAAGACCGTCTTTAAACAGAACGGTTCCACCACAGCTGGTGAGAAACACAACTTTCTAAACTTTCACTGAAATAAGTTAGATCATGGATTGAAGCATTCATGTGGGAATTGTGTAGGTAATGCTAGCCAGATCAGTGATGGTGCTGGAGCTGTACTGCTAATGAAGAGAAGTTTGGCAATGAAGAAGGGACTTCCCATTCTTGGAGTGTTCAGGTAAAATGATTATGGAGAGACTGTGTCAACATTTTGACAGTTCAAGAAACCGAGCAATCTGATCCCGGAACAATGCAGGAGCTTTGCTGTTACTGGTGTGGATCCATCTGTAATGGGTATCGGTCCGGCTGTTGCCATTCCCGCTGCAACTAAACTTGCAGGCCTCAACGTCAGCGATATTGATCTATTCGAGATCAATGAGGTAGTAAAATGTTTTTCACATTGGTGTTTTTCTGATTCAGAATAAAACATACTTATGAATCTCTCTATTGATAAAATTTTTAAACAGGCATTTGCATCTCAGTATGTGTACTGTTGCAAAAAGCTAGAGCTAGATATGGAAAAGGTCAATGTTAATGGAGGAGCCATTGCTATTGGCCATCCTCTGGGTGCTACAGGTCACTACTTACACAAGCTTTGCTTACCAAATAATATGCAACATGTCTTACATGCTAATAGAGCGTCTCTTTGTTCAGGAGCTCGATGTGTTGCGACATTGTTGCATGAGATGAAGCGGAGAGGGAAAGATTGCCGCTTTGGAGTAATCTCAATGTGCATAGGTATATATGAGATTGTTTTTCCAAAATTGAATCGGTTCAATGGGTTACCTATGTTAATGGTATATGTAAAATGTGAATGTAACAGGCACTGGAATGGGAGCTGCAGCTGTTTTTGAGAGGGGAGACTCTGTTGATAACTTGTCCAACGCTCGAGTGGCTAATGGTGATGATCATTAGAACAGCATAGAGAGCTTGAATAAGTAGAAGTAATGATACATTGAGTCTTAAAAATCTAATGCTTTAGCTCTTTCACATTGTTGAATAATGAAAACTTTGTCATTCTGAGTTTGAACGTCAACTACTACTCCGAACAAAGAGTTATATCTAAAATCAAAAGTTACATCCTTCCTCACACAATTCTGAACATCACTCGCGAATCTCATTCTCCATCTTCGGGAGACCCACCAGGCACCAACTGCATCACAAACATTTTCAATATTGGTTTCTTAGCATTTTGACAATTCAAATGATCAACTGTTTATTTCAAGATAACTGAAAAGAGATCACAAGGAAATTATACAATGTATGGCTACTGTAGAAATGAGTAACCAATTTACATATCTGTTCACATCTTCCAAAAATATAGATAAGAAGTGTTGTTTGACTTACAATGGCGATGTTGTTGCCATTGAGTAGAATCTGATCAAGCTTTGTGACCCGTCTTCCTTCAGCTGTGATCTCACTGCACGATGATGCTTAATTTAGACACACACACACAAACTAGTTATACTTAAATTAGTAAATTCTATCAATACAGCCAAAACTTGAATTTGTGAGATCCTATCTCCAAAGCAAGACGCGTTTAAAGCATTAAATCACTATCCGTGCACAAACAAACTAAACTCATGTCACTAAAACTCGCACATGATCCAGTCTACATAGATTATATACATACGCAATAAACATCATCCTTCAGCAGAGCAACAAACTTCGATGGAAATTTACAAATTAGAATGCACAGGAACTGGTTGCAACGTCATTCTTCAGGTCAGTATCGGAACTTGAAATTAGCATATTGCAATCAATTACTGAAAAAAAACTTAGTAGTAAGAAACAAAATCCCAAATGCTGGAATCTGTATATCACAGCCTCCTAAAGCCAATTTCAAGTATCAATTTTCAAGCTTCAATGTCTGTGTTTCACTTCCTAAACCATAAAATATGATAAGTCAAGCAAAAATAGATCAGGCAACAGATCGAATTCCAAAGCATAAACCCTAAAATCAGACTTACTATTCGGTGACATCTTCAAGAACCATGTTGACATAAACATCGAAGCCTTTAAGAATACCAACAAGCTCCTTATCTCCTTTCATAATCACCCATATCTTCGATCCTATGCACCTATCGATTAGCTCTGCACAACAACACACCAAATCGCTCAAGAAATTGAAAACCAAAATCGCAGATCCGGTTCGATTTTCTTCCATATAAAAAGCAAAAAAGTGAGAGATGTATAGAGAAATTGCATACCTGATGGAAGAAGCTGCGAAGGATTGCTCGCCATGACGAAGAAGAGTGAGGTAAGTGAAAGGTTTTTGAGTTTTCTTCTCTGCTTTTTCTTGCTCCAGAGATTTTCGATTTTTAGGGTATTTTTAGCTAACAATCGTATAGTGTGTTTTACTTTTAAGAGATTTACAAGAGAGCCCCTCAATTTCTTTTTTTCTTTCAAGATTGACTTCCAACTTTATAAACTAAATGTATAAACTTTCAGTCTAATTAAAATCTGAAAGATTAAAGTCTCAAATTTAAAAGTGAGAAGACTAGGGAGAGTGTCTAGTGTGAATTCAATCAAACATTTGAATTTTGAAATGATTTGTGCTAAAATAACAACTGGAAAAAATATTAAAGACAATTGTTTCTTTTCTCTCTTCTCTCTTCTGAAAAATAGATTTAGAATTTTTCGTTGTTTTTGTATGGGAAAATGTTTATCAGCTACACGAACGAGACGTCATCACATCGTCACACATGCAGACTTTAAAAATGTTTCGTTAGCTACACGAATTATTGTTATCACATACGGACATTCCCGAATTAACATAAGTCATGTTGCAAACACCATAACCATCTAATTCCAGTGTACCGGTTGCCGGAATCCGGCGTTGACCACGTTGACCGACGTTGACCGGCGTTGACCAAAAATATTTTTAAAAAAATATTTTTTTTTTCTTTTTATTTATTTTTGATAAAAAAAAAGAAATTTGAAAAAAAAAATTATTAAGTAATTTTATTTAAAAATATAACAAAATATAGCAAAAATAAATGTACCATTAAAAAATTATACAACAAAATTTTTCTATATATTTTTGTAATATAACTAAATATACCGAAAAAATAGACCATAATTTTTTTCTTGTGCTATATTTTGTAATATAATTTGTGTAATATGAATTTATAAATTTTTTGTAATATAACTAAATATACAAAAAAATAGACTATAATTTTTTTCTTGTGCTATATTTTTTCATGTGCTATATTTTGTTACAAAATATACCTTTTCCTTTTGGCAATCATTTTCTTATAAATTCAAATGTTGGTTTTATTTTTAAAAACAAAATATATCTTTTTCTTTATGACCTTTGATATATATATATATATATATATATAATATGTAATTGAAAGTATGTACCAAATTCATATATCTACTATACATTTTTGCAACACTTTTTGGGGTTCCTAATCGGGTCAAATTTTGTTTAATTTTGACCCGAAAATCTTCAATCGGATCTTAGATGGTGGGACGGGTCGGATTTGGATTGATATTAATACGGGATAATATATCACGGGTGAAATCCTGGGATTAACAAATCAAAATACAATTTTTTTTTTTGTCAAACATCAAAATACAATTATACAATTTTAAACACTAAACAAAACAAATACAACTTAAAATTTTCATTTTTAGTTACAACGCATGTGACTCGCAATGTACAACAAAAAATATTATATACAACAAATTCATCGGTTTATAAAAAACAAAAAAAATCAAATAATTAACCCGCGGTGTACCGCGGGTAACAATCTAGTATATATATATATATATATATATATATATATATATCTTTGTAAACACCACAAATCAAAACATATATTATGGTGTTTATAAATTAAAGAGAAATAATAGAAAAAATGAATTTATATACTTTTATTTTGTTAATATAGCAAAATATACATTTTCCTTTTGGCAATCATTTTTTTACCAAAAAAAAATATATTTTTCTTCTCGGTTGTTTGAATATTATTTTGTGGTAAAAAACGAAAAAAAAAATATTTTTTTTGAAAATATTTTTTTGTCAACGCCGGTCAACGTCGGTCAACGCCAGATTCCGGCAACCAGTACACTGGAATTAGATGGTTATGGTGTTTGCAACATGACTTATGTTAGTTCGGGGATGTCCGTATGTGATAACAATAGTTCGTGTAGCTAACGAGACATTTTTAAAGTCTGCATGTGTGACGATGTGACGACGTCTCGTTCGTGTAGCTGATAAACATTTTTCCTTTTTGTATAAACGTTTTTATCGTCATTGGGTGGATCGTTCAGCGAAGCGGTGGCTTTCCAGTGGTCATGAAACGTGTAGATATGGAGCACGATGCAAGTGGGCGACTTATTATCACCACGCGTGAAAAAATAAGCGGCGGAACCGACTGAATCCTACATGGCTAGTTTCGGATTTCGACGGTTGGTGGTATGTTTGAGCCATCGTCCATCTTTGTCGCCGTGATTAGAATTCTTTTCACCGGATCAGAAGACTGGTTAGCCTAGGGCGAGGTTCGAGGGTGAGCGGCATCGGAGGTGAGGGTTCGTATCTAGGTAGGGGGTTGAGAGATGGGGTATGACTTGTGGCGGATTTCCCTTTTTAAAGAAGAAAGCTCTAGGTTTGATTTGTTTTCGGCGTGGATTTAAGGCGGAACCGCTGACTCCGGTTAAAAGTTTAGTATCGAGAACGTAGTTGCAAAAAAATTGTTTTTGTTTGCGTCAAATCTAGTAGGTGAAGTTTATTTTTTTATGTACCATCTGTTTCTGATTTTTTTCGGTGGACTCTAACAACACGATGTTAATGTATCAACTAATTATCAACTCTTACGTAGATTTCAGAGAATGATGTTTCATTTGCCCTTAGTGATTGAATTGCTCCCATTTTTGTTCACCAAAATTCAAATTTTCTTATCAACATTGTTACCGTGATATATTCCGAAAATCTATCCTAAACGGATTTTTTTATTTAAATATAAGATATTACAGAAATATATATGGAAATATATATTTCTGTAATACAAAAAGCAGCAGGATGTGTACTTTGGTTTAAGACTTAACACAAAAAGATGAAAATGTCTTTCTAACTATTTAATTAATGGAAAATAAAGTATATGTACCATTACGTAGATGCGAACAAAATTTATCACATTATTTAAGTGCATTTATGAAAATTTGTAGTAAAGTAAGATGTGAATTTTTAAAGTTGAGCTTAGAAAGTTAAACTTGTCTCTTAAAAAATAACTCATGTTTTTATTACTAGTATTTGGTCTTCTTTTTTTTTTTTTTGTCATCCGAAATTAATTAGAGCTCAAAAGAATCATTCTTGAGGAATGTTGTTTACATAAGTGATATGAAGCGGTTCTGTATGAACTTTTCGTGCCAGATTATCCGCCTTAACATTAGCCTTACGAGAAATTAAAGATAAAGAAAAAGATGAAAACTCCTCCTTGTCGCTCTGAAATTCCTCCAAATACATTGAAAACGCCGGCCATTCGGTTGGAGAAGACACCATCTTCACCAGGTCTGAACAGTGTAAAGAACGCTACCTCTTGATTATCTGCACCAATCATACACTTCATCGCCCAGAGAAGGGCCTCGACTTCGGCATGTAGTGGAGATAGACTTCTACGGAGGTTCGCAGCTCCCATGGTTGGCGGCTCTCCATTTGACGATGTACAGAACCAACCTGTACCGGAGAACTTATCACTTTCTTTCCATGATCCATCCACAAAACAACGGTATCCCGAATACTCCGTCTCAAGTGAAACATCCCTCACTCGAATTCGATTTACCAAGTGCACAAAACCATGATTTTCATGATAAAGCTCAATTTGAGCGGACTACCACAATTGTGCCTTTTTTTCCGCTAATCGTAATACTTCTAATGGGTCTGTATCTATGTTTTCAAAGATCTTTTCGTTCCTTGATTTCCAAATATACCAAATTATCCATGGGAAGGCTGATGAATCAACTTCCGTAGGTATTCTCCAAAATAAGTGATCAAAATTCGTAAAATTAGATTCTGTGGGGAAAACCCCCCATAGCCGTAGGAATCTGTGAAAACGCCCAAATCTGCCGTGTCGGGTGGC